TTCCTACGCCCCCGTCTTCATCTTGTGGGAGTTGTCGACGCCCTTCCTCAACATACACTGGTTCTTCGACAAACTTGGCATGACGGGCACAAAGCCTCAACTCTACAACGGCCTTGCACTTTTGTTCACCTTCTTCAGCTGCCGTCTCGTCTATGGAACTTACCAGTCTGTCATGGTCTTTAAAGATATCTGGGCAGCAATGAACACGTTTCCTGGACTTGAGCTGCTGGAGGGGGCAAGTAACTTGCCGGGCAGCAATATCCCGTTGTCCGACGCCATGAGATTTTTGACGACCTCATCAACAGTTCCGACGTGGCTGGCAGCAGCGTATCTTATCAGTAACCTAACGTTGAATGGACTCAACTTTTACTGGTTTGTCATGATGATCCGCGCGGTACGCAAGCGGTTCCAGCCAAGTAGGCCAGTGGGTGGTCAGGAGAAGCAAGCTCAAGCTGTACTGCACGCCGCAGACAGCGCACCAGGTACTGCATCAGTGCGACCACGGAGAAGGAAAGCCTGATCCCAGCATAGGAAGCGTGTTTCCAATGTCAGGAAGACGACGTATTGCTAGATGGGACGATCTAGTGAAGTCGCTGTATGAGCGGGGCAGGTATTATTTGAACAACCAGGTTCAGGCATGATCAGGTGTTTCTTGAGTTGAGAGCGCCCCAACATCCACATTGCTCTTAATACTGGTGCGGAGACCTTGTCACTTGAGAGGTGGGATACATTGGCCGGATGCTTTTTTCTAGCAGTCGTATTTATTAAATAGAGCGAAGCAAAACACATTGGAAACGCGAGGCCTCGTTTGCAATATCTCGGACCATCTCGGCGACCAGAATATCTACATCAAGGCTGTGGTCAAAAAAAACCATAACGGCCGATTGACGTCTTCATGTTCGTGCGGTGGTCAGGCACATGCTCCAGTTGGGACATAAACCAAAAGAGTACAAACGGCGACTAAACAAAAACCTGCTTTAGAAGCCGAATGGGTTGTTAGGCGCTGTGAAGAGTCAGTTTCTGCTTTGAGGAGGATGGGAAGCGGGAGCTAACATACTGGCTTGAGACAGGTTTGCTCGTCGACCTGTGGGCTGGGGCGCGAGCCTCTTGGCCTCCCCCGTGACTCCGAATCGCACAGGAGGAGCAGGCCCTGTCTGTTGAGGTTGAAGAGGCTGTATCTGTGCCGCGCTACCATTGCCAGTGAAGCCGGTTGGTTGGGGCTGGAAAGGAGGCAGGCCAGTACGTTGTGGTTCCAAGGCTGGTGGCAAGAAACTGTTAATGGTACCCGTAGGCTGCGGGTTGAAGGGCTGCGCCTGTGGATATGGTCCAACATAGCCCGTCGCCTGAGGCTGCATAGGAGAGAATTGGGGTTGGCGGTTGATGCCGCCAAAGGGACCGGTAGCCTGTGGCGGAATCGTGCCCGTCATTCCAGCTGACACGAACTGGGACGCCGGTTGTACTCCAGCATTCGGGAACGCGAGCTGGTGCTGACCGCTGTACGCAGGCATTGGAAACTGCTGCATCTGTTGGATCTGCTGCTGCTGCTGCTGCTGCTGGATCTGCTGCTGTTGAAGAAATTGCTGTTGAAGTCGTGCCTGAGTTACCTCATCCAAACTCTGGCCAGGAGGAGCAACCCGTGTCTGATAGTTCAGACCCGTCATTTGGGGGGCCAGTGCTGGAGGCGCGAATCCGCTGTTCTGCGCCGACTGAGGAGCTGACAATGGGCGGGCTGGTGGTGGAGGCACAAGAGAGCTTTGGGTGGGCGAGGCCTGGGGAGGAGCAGGACGCAGACGCTGCCCAGCCTGTTGTTGAGCTTGCTGAGTGTTTTGCATGTTGGCAGGTGCAAAGAAAGCAGGCGTGGCACCAGTCGGCTGTGGGCTTACCGCTGGCGGTTGTGTGGCAGGACTGGACCCCGATGTTTGGCTCGACAGTGGCTTTGTTGGTTCGAGAGGTGCCGTAAGGAGAGAGAGCTCTTGCATGGACCCTGCCAGCGCTGGCGTCGGCTTCGTCGGCTCCGCTTGCACCTTCTTGGGCTCCTCGGCCGATTTGCCAGGCCTGACATCCCAAGCATCATCATCGAAACCCCCCTTGGACTGGTCGCCGTTCCCATCCCGAGTCTGCACATTTTGAGACTCCGGTGCTTTGTTCCCTGTTCGGGCACCGAATGCTTGTGCATCTACCACGTCGCTCGTCTGGACAGCAGGTGCAGGCCTGCCCTTCCTGGTATTATTGCGCAAAGCCCCGCCAGGACCCGAGAATAAACCACCTTCACCACCATCATCATCAGAGCCAGCACCATCTTTATTGCGTTTTCCGCGTGAACCTGTCCGGCCAAATCTTGTATCCAGATGACGCATGACTTTGAGGATGTCGCCCTCGCGAAGGCCAAGATTGCGCAGCACCGAGGCGTCAACGTCAGGAAGTATACTTTCGTCCATGGACTCTTTGGCAAATGCCTGTGCATAACGTTCGCATACGCCCACAGCAACGTCGCATGACAGGAAAAACTGAAACCAGTCGTACTCTGGCCTCTGTGGTGGCTGTTCAACAGATGCGCCCGCTCCCAACCTGACAGTTGAGGCTGCGCCGAATGTGCCACGAGAATCGGGAGTCTTGCTGTTCCTCTTCACACTGGAGAGTGGCTTATCTTCGTCCAATGAGATGCCAGTGACAGCCTCGACGTATTCGAGGTCTTCCAGTGACATTTTGGCGATGGGAACTGCAATCTTGACGCCGTTCATCTTGTGCAGATTGATTTTGCCATCCTTCAGGCCGAGAAATTGCGCGTCGACGCTGAAGGACTTTGACCGATCAGTCCAAGTTCGAACCTTGGCTGCGTCGGGTTCTACCAATCGATCAGCAAACACATATATGACTTGCCGTGGCCTTTGCGACTGACTGGATTTCTTTTGTGTATTCCCTTCACCTCGTCCTGTCTCGCGCTTGCTCCGCTGCCCAGAGTTACTAACACTTTCTCTTGCCGTAAGACTACTGCCGCGTTCAGGCAGTGGCATACCAGGCCCTACCTGTGATTGTGTATCGTGTTGGGCAGCTTTCATGGCTTCCTTGGTCAATCGAATCTCTTCCAGACGATTCTGTTCGACTGTAGACAGACCAGCGTTCGAGTTTGATGCCCTAGTTGCTGGCGAGGTTATGCCAGTCGCCTCGATGTAACTGCTCGGCACGACACCTTGACTGCCGTTCTTCAGTCGCCGCACCTGCCACCATTCGTCGCTTTTAGCATCGTCGAGGATGATGACCTCATCGCCAACTGATACTGAAACCTCATCATCCCCCTGTGCAACAAAGTCGTAAAGAACCTGACCCTTCTTCTGAGCCTTGCCAGCATCGGCGAATATCTCCTCGCGCAGTCCTTGAGCTCGAACAGCTCCAGCCAGCTCACCGAGAGCGCTCACGATCTCTTCGGCCGTGTCCTTGGCGCCGGCATGAAAATCGACACTTTTGCTCGGCTTGACGAGTTCCAAGAAGACGTGTTTTGTTTCACGCGAATAGTGAATCATCTTTTCTGCTGTCCATTCTTGCGTGGGGCCGTCTTGTGTCCTCTCTGGCGCGATGAGGATGGTTCCAGTTGCTAAATTAATGCCCAGAACAGTTGGCATCTTCTTGCGTTTTCCCATGACCGACACCATCTCATTGATGTTATACATATGGAACCCTCCCGACGCGAGATATTGCGCCGGTGGCTCGGCGGTATTTGTATCGGATATGCGGGTCTGCCTGCGTACAGAGTCGTGCGGCGGGGGAGAACTGATCTGAGAACGTGGCCTGGTAGGTAGTTCGGGGGACTGAATCCTACCTCTGTCGTCTTCGTCTGCAGCGTGGTATGACGGCGATGTGGGCGACCTTGTCAGTGGCGACGCTGCCGAAGGTGCCGAGCGTCCTTGCATGACCCCTGCCAAGGCAGCAGCTGGGTTGCCATGAGAAGACGGGGGCGAAGAAGAAAAGGCAGCAGCTCGATCGGCAGAATCGTGGTCTTCGTCCACTGCGGACGGTGTCGGGCGTACTGGCAAGGACGGAGGACCTGGAGGTGGAACGGCGGCTGCTTCGGTGGCGACATCCTGCATTTCGAGATAGTTGGCGGGCGCGAAGCCATATTCGTCGCCGAGGCCAACAAGTATCCAATCCTCATCTGATGCATCGTAGACTGAAAGCGCAGCATCTTCCGGAAAAGACAATTCTTCGTCAGTTTGACGAGTATACTCGTATACTGCGCGAGCTTTTGCCTGCGGCTGGGCCTGTACAGACGGTTAGCCCGTGTCGAAGTTGTTTGGTTTGTACTCATCTCCATCTTGCCTCTTCCACATAATTGTTCGGTACCAAACCAATCGGTTCATCGCCATCGTCAGTGTTGGCCCTCTTCTTGGCCTTCCACCATCCGTCATCCGAACTTTTGTCCAGGATGTATAGCAAATCACCCTCGCTTATGGCTAGCTCGGCATCTGCCTGCGGCACATAGTCATATAGAGCTCTGCAGACGGCTTGGAACCCCATGTCGTCGGTTCGGAACGTCGAACAGGGATGACCTCAACTCGGGCTTCGCGGCCTCGGCTTGGAGACGTTAGATAGCGGACGTGCTTGTTAAGGGCGACGAAGTACGTAGAAGTATCGGCTGTTCGCGGATGGGCGACTTTTGGTCTCGTATAGTGTGCTCGTGGTGGTTGCAGAGAATAAACTCGAAACTTAGGCGGTCGATCTGGCAAACAACACGGTCAACAAAACCTGGAAGCACGATCTCAGCACCTGTAGATGGGGGGATACATTGCCTCAAGTAGGAAGCAGTCCACAGGTACACATAGCGTACAAGAGTGGTTGTTTGATCAGCGCATCAGTTGGACGTGCTTGCCATGCGAGAGGTTGTAGTTACTGGGCCGAAGGGGGTCCTACATTGAGTATGCGTCAACGACGAGTGGCTCTCGATGTCCAACTGGCTTAGCAGCATGCGTGCATCGAATGAACGGTCACAGAGTATGTAGAATATTACGGCCGATTGCTTAGTGCGGGGGAGAATGTGTCGCAGAGACAATCGCTCGCTGATGCTGGATGTCTTCTTGTTTATGAGGAAGGTGTCTGGAAGAGGCGCAGACCGCGCGGCAGTGTTCGGTTGATGGCGTCAATCTGTTTGTCACGCGAGAGGGCCATCAGCTAGGGCAGAATAGGAATATTGAAATTCAGGTACGACTTACTGTCAGAACAGGATCTCCGACCAACTTTGAGCCTGTCCTGTGTAGTCTGGCAGGCAATAGCCAGGTTAGCAGACAGGCTGGAGCTGGTGGTTGGCAAGCTGTTGACAAGCCCGACGAGGCGGGACAGGCGGGACAGGCGGGAATCACCCAATTGGTTCTAGACTTGGGGCCTGAAGATGAACATGTAACAAAGGGGCCGGGGAGGGGGTACCCAAAGCCGACAAGTGATTCAGTTACCTACCTACAAGTAGGAGCGGCGGGCGGGGCCTACCCACTTGCACGTATTTATGCAGGACAATATCCATTTCTACGCCATATGGATACTCATCTAGACAATATTGAATTCAATCCGAGTGCTTCCCGCCCTCTCTGGAACGCATAGGCGAGCACTTTGTAGATGACGTCTTCATCGCTCCACTCGCATACATCTTAGTGCAATTTAACATAACCAACTACATTTACCTGCCACTACCATGCAGTAGGAAAAGCACCCAACAAATGTATCTTTTTCTTTGATTGGCAACGATGGTGATCTGACACGATAGCCAGGACAAATTTTCCTTGCTCCTCCATAGGTTCCCTAGAGCGAGTACAATTTTGTGGGACCTGCAGTGACACGACACATTAAACAGCAACGCCTCCTGTCCCATTCAAGACCCTTCTGCTGGTCGGAGGCTGTCGCTTCTTGTTCCTCTGCTTACCACACCAGGCAGAATGATTGGTTCTCGACCCGAAATATGAACGTCACTGAAGCTCTCTGTGAGACCTGGCGACTCCGTCATCGACGACATGCGTGTCGGAGTTGCGACAACCGCGCCTTCATGCGCAGCAGGCTCATTCTGGTTGACGTACTGCGGCGTAACTGACGCAGGCTTTGCTGTGTTCTGCCCTTGTGCGTTGCCGCTCGGGTCCGTGTCATGCCGAGCATTGAAGGCTATGTATTGCTGTAACCTTTGAGCAATATATTAGTACCTGCTTGCATACCTTGGGGCCTTGCAACTTACACGTCTCGCTCCTGCTGCAGCGTTTGGTGACGGAAATCTTCACGGCGGTCGGGAACATTGGTCTTCTCCATCGAATTACCGGCCTTGCCAGGAAGATGGAAGTTCGGACCGAGCCACTGTTCTTTGACAGACTTCTCATATCCACTTTGCTTGACCGAATTCTTGGCCAATTCGCACATGTCTACGGAGCTGAGCTTGTAGATTTGCGCAGCCACCGCATACTCCTCCATAAGAGGCTCCTTAGTGAACGCAAACTGGAGCGGGTCGTCCGTGGATAAGGAGACGTTGAGGCCGCGACGGAAGTATTGGTAGAAAGGGTTTCTCTCGTATGCCAGGAAGAGAGCGTTGTTGCTGAGCGGAGACATAGCGATTCCGATTTGCTCCAGGTAATAGATGTACTGCAACAATGGAACTTTGCGCAGCAAAAGACCGTGACTAATGCTGTGGCAGCAGAGTGCTGCGACGGCAAGATGCTCACTGTCACCCGCCTCACCACAGTGAGGACGCAGTACAAAGGTATTGAATCCTCTGCGCTTGCGTAGTGCGTTCAGTGAGGCCATGTTGGACCACATGTAATACACCCAGTAGCTATAAGGCGGGTTCTGTTTGGAATCCCAGACCTTCGGGACAGGGAACTTCTTGAACAAACGGCGCTCGACTTTGCTCTCGTCGTCAACGCTGTCGAAGCCGATCACCCTCTGCAGGAAGATGTGGAGTTTAGGGTGGCTCGACGGATCCTGGGAAACCTCAAAGAGAGGTTGAAATACGTTTTTGACCACCTGTTCAAAGGTGTCCATGAGTCCGGTTGCTTTATACACGTCATACAGACGAGGGATCTGAATCAACCACCGCACATTGTGCGAGAATAGCTTGTTGTCAATGACCCAAGCGGCAAGCTTGTCCCATTCATCGAGCGACCTGCCATAGATGGAAATTCGCCACTCAACCATCTGGTACTTGCTTGACTCAAGATCGGCAATGACCTCCTTCGTGATTTCGGCCAGATAGCGGCCGTCGATAAAATTGTCAGTCTTGAGAAAGATTGTTCTCAGCCGCGATTCTCCGATGGGGTTGTACTTCAGATTGAACTTGTCAAATCGATGGAAAGAATCGGTGTGTGCCTGACATCAATTAGTAAGGGACAGACAGGAATCCTTTAACCAGCCACTTCTGCCATGACGACTTACATGCATATCGAGGGTGTCAATGCTGAGATCGTAGGCGGTGAGGTTGATGCTTTCGAAAACCTCAGCCAAGGTGAGATGGCGGTCATCGCGATAAAGTACAACTTCGTCCGGGCACTTCTTCATTTTGCTCTTGATAAAGCGCAAGAGATGTTTCTGGTTCATACAGGCGGAGTGATGAACGTGTGTATCAACCTTTCGGACGTTGTAAAAGTCTCGATGTGGCACCTTCTTGCTGTCTGCTGTCTCCTGGTACTCGTTCAACAAAGCGTAGAGGTTGAACTTGGCTTCTAGGTATTGAAGACGTCGAAATGCAAAGCTTTTGCTTGGCCCATCCGATGAAAGGCTGAGAATTTGATCAAGGTTCATGTAGAACTCACGGATGGTAGGAACTTGTACCAGAGGTTGACCATTGGCTTCTTCATCCTTGTTATCGAAAACTTGATAGACACCGCTATCATCAAGTTTGAAGGTCATCTCTGTGACGCCAGGAACTGGCAGCAGCTCTTCTGGTACGAAGTCCTCGCCAACATTCTGTCCAGGCTTTCTCTTCCTGCTTGATCGTTTGAGAGTGTGGTCGATGTCGGGGTCAGCTGACCCAGGGACTTGACTGCCCGTGGCGGCTGCTGGTAGCACCATACTGCTTTGCAGGCTGTTCACTGCACTGTTGCCAGACGTGGCAAGCCCCGCGCTGGTCCCATGTTGATGAGCCCAGGCTGGCTCAGGGGGTGGTGGGTAGATCTCCCAGTCATCTTGATCCTTAGGGTTGTCGTCAGGACCTTGAAGAGAGAGTTCGATATATTTCCGTCTCATGTCCAATATGTCTTGTATGTCCTTCGATATGGAGCTGAGCTCAGATGTGATGTGGGGTTCAGTGTCAGAGAAGGCGCCCAGGGCCGCATTGGATTCATTGCCGGCAGTGGGACGGGGCGTCTCCTCCAGGATTTTTGCCTGATCTTGTAGAGGTGCTTTGCCCGAATGGACAGTAAACACATCGCCTCGAGAAGGGCTCTGACCTTCGTACTCTAATTTGGCGACAGACTGCATGATAGAGCCTAGAGCTGGCTCTCCGAGTCTATGATCAATGCGTGGAGGTTGGCTGGTGTGGTCGTAAGCCTCATGACCGGTAACCATAGGGCTGCCGCTAATGCTCTTTTGACCGATTTGACTTCTCTGATAGAACAATTTGGCATCCGTCTGACTCAACTGACGCTCAGCGACAGGGTCATAGTAAGTAGTGCGCGTGGGCAGGTCACGCGGAAGCATGCCTTCCTGCAGATCTCCATTCGCCGGACTCTCGTCGAAATGCGCGTGGGAGGAATCGCCACCTCTCACCGCCCCATCAGGGTTCCTCTGTGTCTGAATCACCATCGACACCCTGCGCTACCGCCTGGCCCTCTTCATCAGATTCTACATCGGGGTTGGGGAAAGATGAGCCCCGCTTAGGCGACGATAGGCCAACGATGGGGTCTTTGAGGGAGAGGATTACGTCTGAAAGAGGGGTCAGTCAAATTTGCGCTATAGGAAGTCCGCAGGCAGCGAGACGGGTGAGGGAACTTACTAGTTATGATGGAACCGGTTCCGTATTGAGTAGATGCGTGGAGGATCGAACAGGGAAGGAGAAGTTCTTACCAGCCATAGTGATAAACCTACTCAGGCACGCAGCTCTCACCGTCGTATTCTTTTTGGTAGGACCGACCTTTTTGAGCGTTTGATGAGTTGATCGAAAGAAATGTATGAGCTGGGGTCAAGGGCAGGTACGCCGTCGCATGGGCGCGCCAGAGTATATAGCCCTGATATAAAGCAGACAAGCTGGTGGACCTGAAGGACCCTGTGATTGAGTCAGGCAGCCTAACTACGAGCGTCCCACTCTGAGGCTTTGCTGAAATCGATCTGGTAGTGTCTGAGCTTTGACCAACGGCGGCGTCCGCCGATACCCCCTAAGTACATATAGAGCTTCGCTTAAACGCATAATACCATACCATTTTCTCGGTAGCTGCACTCCTTACCGAAATGATGAAGTTTTGAGTCGTACAAGCCATTAACATTGGTGAGAGCAAGAAAAGACTCTTTTACGGGGGTATGTTTTAACTGGACAAGCCTCCAGAGAACCAAACCTAGGTACTCAAAACTAATTGCTTGGCCCTTGAGCCTGACTCACCTCAGTACAGCACCATTTCAGGCCAAGTTTGTAACAACCACAATATGGACAATATGCCATTCGTCTGACCTCGGGGCTCATTATGTGACCTGAAGCTGGGTGAGCTTGTCTATTTCAAATCGGGATCTTGCTTCGGCTGCGTTCGCGTTGGCTTCTTTTTGGAATCAAGCGAGTATAAGCCTCCAGCCCCAAACACCACTACAGCCCCTACCAACGTTCCAGTGGCAAGGGTGTTCCCAAATAACCAGATGCTCAACAACAAACTGACCAGCTTCCGTATATTGAGGACAATTGTAACAGTCAAGGCGGACGAGGCTGCTGCCAGAAGGTTGACGCCTCGAATGCATGCGTACTGCGTTAGAACATTGATAGCAAGGTAGGCAAGCTGGCTGGGTACTTGGATTCCGCTCAGATAAACAGAAGTTCCGTCGACAGATGGTTCGGACTTGCCAGCCGCCCACGGTGTGAGTGAGAGGGGAGTGCTGTTGGCCAGCCTTCCATACTGTCTCACAAGAGAAGGCAGGAAGGGCAAGAAGAGCGGCAGAGATAACAGATGAGAGTAGAAGAGGTTCTCCTTCCAATGAGGACCATACTTCTTGTACGTCTCTTCTGTGTAGAGACCCATAATTGCAGACAGAATTTGAGCCACGAAAAGAATGATGAGGCCAGTCCCGAATGTGGGCTTAGCTTCTCGTGCCTCAGCACTAGCCTCAGTTGGTTCTGTAGTGTTCTATCGGAGGCAAAAAATCATTAACAACTGTGATACAGGCCACATCACTCGTTGGTCGTGGATGAATTGTTACCTTTGTTTGTGAATCTGACCAGGCCGCGGTAATAACCCCTATGGTCAACAGGAGCACGGCGACAATTTGTATGCGCGAATATCGCTTGCCGTACAAAGATCCTGCCCCCATAGTAGTGATACTTCCGCCAGATCGGAGGATAATGTGAACAGGGACTGATATGTCGTAGCTGAACGCATGGTTGTTCAACACATTGATGCTGAAGAAGAGTAAAATATTCACCATCCAACGGCGGAGAGGAACTTTGTTTGGCCGAATGAACAATGGTGGTCGCGAGCGATCAAGTTGTGAGATGTACCCAGTAACAGCTACGAACAAGAACTGCACGAATGTCAAGAGCGTGCCTGGTTGATAGATGTCAGATATAGACTGTGATCGTGACGAGATGGTTTCGTGGAGGGCATACCGCTCGAAGGCTCAACTCTAATGGCATCAAAGGTTAGTGTTTGCAAATGGCGATTGATAAGCTACAAACTGACTTGATAATGGCTTCAAGAGCGTAAACCTACACATCGTTAAGATCAGCCTGATGCGCTTCGCCAATCGAGCATAATGGTGCAACGGAACAAGCTACGCACATTAGAACAGCAGCCACCAAAGATCAATCCGAGCATGACCCCAATTGCAAGCCATTGTGGGAGAGCATCGACAGCTAAGCGTCTTGCGAGCGTTGCGGGCCCCTGCGACAATGCCTGCATGTCACGCTCGCCGTGTTGTTTCTCGTAGTCGATGTGGTCAGTGTCGGCCGTTTCGTTGACAGTATTCAGGGGTTGCATAGCGCCTGTTTGTCGAGTAGTCGATTGGGCCTTCTCCGTGACAGGTGTTTCGTGGGTGCCCCGCGGCGGACCACGTCTTCTGCTTGTCGAGCTTGCAGTCATCGAGATGGTCTCGCCCTACAACGCAGTCGGGACATGAAAGGAAAGTTGACCGTGGGAGCGAACGATGCAGAGAGGATGCTAGGATGACCAATGAGGGGCGACGGACCAGCGCTGGGGGCTCAGTTTCTGGAGACAGAGGTGTCCCGTTAATCCGCACGACGCCTTAGTGAGTAACTGGTCGGCAGGTGGTAACGTGTCGCCCCACCATAATCCCCCATTCTAACCAAGTTGAGTATTTGTAGGGGACTTATTCGAAGCCCGGAACAGGGGTCAAGACACAATGATTCCGACATACCCGTACGGCTCACATCTACCTAGGTAATTACACAGAAACCACAGACAATGCACAGAAACTGTAGAGTTGTTCTTGTCATGAACTTTGCTTTAGGCTTATTCGCTATCAAGTCGCTACTGAGGGGCGGAAGAGAGAGCACCTTGGTAAGCATGCTCACTAGGTGTGCACAGCTGTATCTGGCAGACGTGTCTTCTCAGCCAGGCCCCCCTCTCTTCATCTACTCGACCCTGTGTCTGCCAATATAGCTTGTATCATATGAAGACAGCCGAATCGGAAGAACCACGTTCGTCCGCTGACGGTGCACACATTCTTTTAGCTAAGGTTGTGCTCACAATGACAAGACCCATGCAGCATGATCTATTAGCTGTCGGGAGATCGACGATATCTGGACCACGGACACTGACAGCATGCGCCACATGATGCGGCCCAGCACGGATAGCCTTTCGACGATGCAATTCGTATAGCTTACAGGGCCGAAAAGACGAAGAGCTTCAGGTCACGAGTTAGTATGTCTTCGAAAGAAGCTGGGACCCCCCAAAGCAAAACTCAAGAAGGGCAAGTCAACTTACATTGTTCGTTGCTGCGATGGCAATACTATCCTCGAAAGGATGCCAGCTCATATGCAGAATTTTCTTGTTGAAGTCGATTTGGTCAGCATCCGTCTCCTTACGCATTCTCTGACCCTGGGCCCCAGCAGCTGGGCTACCAGCACGCGATCCGCTCTTTTTCCCGTTTGTCGACGTAGGGCTGGTTGCTGCGTTGATCGGTGTTGGCACGCCAACCTTCTTCGCTTTGAAGGCTGACTTGTCGGCCTGCAACACGACTTCAACCTCCTTCTCGGGATCCGTAGGGTAGATCATAAAGTTGTTGTTGTAACTGCCTGTCATTACATTCTTGGCATCGCCAGAAAAAACGACCTCAAACTTGTCGAAAATGCTGTCATTTTCATATGTGTCGCAAAGGCGAGGTCGCAGGTGTTCGTGGATCGGAATTGTCTTCACAGGTTGTCGTTCCATGTTTATGTCCCAGATCTTGACTGTCAGATAGTCGCGTGAAAGGATGTAGCGTCCGTCGAAGGAGAAACGCACATCCGAGATGGATGAGATAATCTCGGAGAAGAACGACCTAGATGAAGGATCCTCTTCTTGCTCAAACACTACGAAGCAGGACTCAAGTTAGCTACCACAGTGATACTAGAATTCAGGAGTAAACGTTAAACATACACTTTGCATGCTGGTCGCACAAGGCACTTTCGCGCATGTCAGCCAGCTTGATAGTGCCTTTCGAGCTCGCATACATGAACCAGTTGCAGCTCTGGGGGTGGAACTCGGCGGCAGTGATGACCTCCGTAAGCTCTTCCATGTTTGCGGGCTTGATGTCGACAATGTTAAAACTTTGGTCCTGGATGTTGAGATTCCAAAGGTTGATGCGAAGATCGTCGCTGCTGATGAAGGTTTCGCCGTCGCTGTTCACCGATATGCTGTTGATGTGATACGCGTGAGCGTTGGCGTATGTCCGTCGCGGCACGGCTGCGACGACAGTATCATGGTGGGTGAGGCGGGGCAGTTTGAGGTCAGTTGCGTTTCTGAACTGAGATGGGAGGCGTCGCTCTGGGTGCCGCCGCCGCCGGCGACATTGCTTGGGGTGAGGTCGTGCGACAAGTTGTTCTCCGCGACAACCTTTAGTGACTTTTCGAAGACTTTCCATAGCTTAATAGTCTTGTCATTAGTCGACAGAAGATAATGGGATGCATTTTGTCGACGACACCATTTGATCTTGTTGATCTTCTCTTCGATCTCAAGGGACTTGAGATAGTCGAACTCGGGTTCGTGGGACTGGAACTCTGTGTGGAACTTGTATTCGCATGTCTTCTTCTAGAAGAATGGGTGTCAATAAGAACGCGATCACCTAATTTGCATGTTGGCCACTTACTGTCTCATTCCGTTCGAAAAGTACAACACGTCCACCCTTGTCTCCCGTTGCTAGGTAGTTGCCGGTATGGTCGAATTCAACGGTGGAGATGATATCGGCTGCAAGGAGTCAGACGTCAGACTTCCACGACATTGGAAAGGGTTGTGCTCTAGTATCATGTGGGGATCAACTCACCTTCAGTAATATCTTCCACATCGCCTTTGTCGCCGAAGCACCTGTCAAGTGCTGGTCAGCTCAATCCCAAGACGTTTCCCGCACACGACAGGCGGATGGGCAAGAAGAGGAGAGGGCGTCATACTGCGTGAACTTCCATGTCGGAGAGTTCGTATCGCTGTCTACCATTTTTCCCGCGAGTGCCGATGGAGGGGTAGAGTTGAGTACGACTGGGAATCGACAGACAGACACGTTTGCCTCAAGAATACAGTGTGGCAAATGGTTGGCCTAGAAGCGTGGACTTTCCAGGTCCAAAAGTGGTTCTGCAGCTATCGTCCTCGGAAGCAAGTTGTCTTTCGGAGCTGAGCACCTCGGAGTGAGCGAAGAATGCTGAGGTAGGTGCTTGTGTGGTTCAAGCGCCCAGAAGAGAAAAAGGGTGACGTGCGTGCGAGTGTTACAAGCGATGGTCGGCGAGCGATAAGAGATGGAAATTCGTGAGGTCGGCAGCTGCGTCGATTGTCAGTTGCGTTCGAGTAGTGATCGAAGGACTGGATGGGGGACGAGGACGACAGCAAGAAGCGGTGGAAGGCGGCGAGCAACTACCAAACAGTGACGAAATGCGCGAGTAGCGCGACGAGGTAACAGGCAAGAAATAAGGCAACTAGCTACCTTGTCTGGAGACACTGGCTTCAGTAGGTAGATAGGTAGGTAGGTATGGCTTGGTCGCGCGTGCGGCGATGGTGCAGCTCAGGGAAGGGCAAGTGCGTGTTGGTTGGGTGGAGGGGCAGGGACCTGGAACCGGAAGGCTAGAGGGAAGTTGAAGCCAAAGGACAGCCCCGAGACGACGGGCATGCAGTCATAGCTTGCCTTACCTCCTATCAAGGTAGACTGGTGGTGACCAGTTACCTCAGTCAGTGTGGGCTACAGCAGTGGAAGCGGGTGGAAAGGTGTATACCAGCAGGGCGGCGTCTGGGCGTGGTGGTGGTAATCGTCGAGTAATGCGGTTGAGGTCAGGTAGGTGGGTTGGGTTCGACGTGGTGCAGCAGTGTGGTGTGCGGGATGGGCGGTGGTCCCAGTGTCTGCTTAGGTCGGACCTCACTACCTCGACGGCAATGCCCCACCCAGTATGCCTGGGTACACAGCATAAATAATGATAAGACAACGGATAACCGTATGTCGATTGACTCTTATGGTATAACTACATCGCCCCGAAAACGGAATTTCGCTCATCTAAACCAAGTGCATGCATATCCGTTGGGTCCCGTATCGATTAGATCGGCTGAACGAACCGTGGTGCCGACTGCACCCATATGCCAGGTACCTACCTACCTAAGCTAATGTGCCAGCCTCGGTAAAAGTATGCCCATTAGCACATAACCTCCATCTTCCTCGACATCCTTTGAGTAATTGTCACCTGTCGACACGCAACTATGACAACTTCAAACGATCCTGGTGGGAAGGCTTCGAGAAAAGGCAAGGAACATGATACAGAAGACGTTTTTCTCGCCCTGGATTCAGAAGTCAAAACGATACCAACGCCCTCGCTAGTCTCTCGCCTCCAGGCTTCAACCACGGCCCTATCCCGCACAGTGATCAGTGGACAGCCCGAGAGTGCAGTGCTTGGAACTACTTCTAGCGATAAACAGCAACAATCATCTGGCGGGACATTCACCTCTGCGGCAGCGACAGCGAACTCGCTATCCCCGCCCCTCTCGAGGCAAGGAAACACGGGCAGCAACAAATTCAGCAGCCCTGAGCACAGTCATGTTTCAGAAAGTCAGTACAACGACTTCATCAATTCACCAACATCAACGACTTCATCGTCAGTCGGCCCAGGATCTTCATCGACCCACCAGCTCGTGAACCAGATGCGCCCAGCTTTCTCTGGCTTCACTGGGGGCCCATCAGAATGGGAGGTGCAAGCAAGTCGCGATGGCATTGAAGCAGTACAACTTTTGTCGGTTCCGGAAGCCCAAGACATCATCACACGTGACAGCTTGGACTCAACGCCTGTCCTGTCGCCACATGAAATCGCAACGCTGAGGTCGGCTCTCTTCGGGGAGGACCAGTCTCAAACCTTGGAGCGAATAGACCAGGGTTGGGACGAACTTTTAAATTTTCAGCCAGACTTCCTGATCGCGGGCGACAGGAATGCAAGCTATCAGCATCTTGGTATTCGAGATCCTCATCGGGCCACAAGCACTTGGCTCGCAGATTGGAGACATGTCCTCAGCTCCTACACTGATGAAGTATGGGGAGACTTGGGGCCTCTTGCAGAAGCTGCCCGCAATGAGCTCAACGACACAGGGGACCAGATAAGCAACAGCCCAGCAACAGATATGAGGGCTCTGGGTCGATTGAGGCAGATTTTGGCTCATGTTCGAGACTCGCGTTGATTGAAGAGTACACTTTCTGGGCATTCTACCACGGTGCTAGACACACTCGTTGCCCAGCCAACATCGCTCAGGCTACTCAACCAATCAAGTAGTGCATTCACCTGCCATGCAATCTACCTACCCTGATGCCTGCACAAGCTGGGCCTTCTGTGTGCTCGCCAGCCACCCAGCACTCGCCCAGCCACTCGTATTAGCGGCATTGAGGTCATCATATATCGGCCATATCTTTCTTGTCCCGGTTAACGATTGCGATTCCCTAGCTTCGTCACCTACGCCCTTTCAAAGTTGCCACAAGCTCTAACAGCGCTCTTCTGGCGTTGTATCGATCGGCCCGCTTAGCTCTACCCCGCTCCCAGCTGTACAAGAGCCCCATATTGAAGATGCTCCTACAAGCCAACTTACGCTCGATGACTACAGCGAAACACCGCTTGTTACAATTGCACTTGGGGCTTTCCCTTTGGCTGTCTGTCTCAGCGGGGTCACATTCAACCCCAACAACACCCTCGACAGCAGCTTTAGATATACCATCAGCGGACAATTACGCAGCAGCCCACCAGCTTTTTCGAAGACAGAGTGCCGACTGCCCCGCTGGCACATACTTGTGCTCTACTTCTTTAGGCACAGACTTCAGCGGCATCTGCTGTCAGAACAACCAAGTTTGCGAACTTGACGACAGCAATCAACCGGCTTGTTGTCCTTCCGGGTAAGCTGTTGAATCGCCTCAGAGACTACATCCGACAGCAGGGCTAATTTACTTGATGGTACAGAGCTGTATGTACAGGCACAGCGCCAGACTCTCCAGCCGGGCAACCGACTGCGGCTGCTTCGTTTGTTGCAAACAGCTTCTTTCCCTTCCCCTACATGGCGACATCTCTCGACCAAGGTGAATGTTCATCTGCCTTGAGCCAATGCTCAGAGAACTACGACACGTGCGTCACGAAACTAGAAGGGGGCAGCAATGATTTCGCTGTCACAATCGTTGTTCCCGGTGGAGGGGGTACTACTGTCGCCGCCAACCATCCCAGTCTCGGCACATCGGCCACGCCTGTCTGTTCCAGCCTCAGTTCCCAAGCTTGCTTCGGCCTCGAACCGTCCCACTGCGACCAGCCCACTTCAGTAAACGGAGTTGTAATCGAGTCAGGGTCACTGGCTAAGCCCACGGCATACCCCGTTGGCGGCGCTGTCGCAGCCGGCTTCGGGGTCGCCATGCTTGGGTTTTGGGGTTGAAATGACGTATCCCGCGTCTATTTTTGTCCGTCAGTCAAGGGAACCATCGATGTCACGAATTATGTCTTTCAATGGGATTGCGTTACATGATCAAACCTTGTTCTTTGTCATGAGGTTCCTCTTCTTTTAGTTTTTGCATAAGCGGGGGAAACGAAGCATCAGTTCCATGGCTTTCTGGCTCGACGGCCCATTCGGGACTTCATCAACAGAGGTCCTAAGGTGCTGCTACTATGCGGCACGCTCGGTCATGATGTTGCTGTTTGGTCTAAACACATACTCTAGGTTATGTACGTATGTATTTGGTTGATAGTACGTCGTGCGTAGATCAGCATTGACGGAACACTAGCAACTTCAACGCGGTTCCCAACCCCTTTCGCCGCATCCTTCGCCCTTGCCTCTGTCAGGAATGAGGCCCAAGCTTCAAACACGGCTGGCGTAGCAATATAATGTATCAGGTTCACGTGCTCTCAGCGATCCTAGCATCCTATTGCACGCAATAATGTACAGTGCTGTGTTTGAGGTGCGAATAGGACAATGTAAGCCATGAGATATTTTTCGTGCTCGAGCCGCCTTTCTGGACGCTCAAGGTCCTGCGAGCCAAAACTTCTCAGTTCCCCATCTGTGCAGGACACTGTAGGATGCTGCTGAAGCGAAATCTTATTACAATCGCCATATTAGCAGTCTCTCACAGGTGACAGTTCGAGCCTGTGTCTTCGTAGAGAACACCCCTCAGAGTGTTCCGGGCGTGCCCAACGTCCCCGACGACACCTATGGCTAGGTTGCGCAGCGAAACGTTGAGAAAACGTCGGGCGGCATCCTCAGCATCCCTCAGTCTACTGAAGTCTTCGGCATCGAGCGTAGTGTATGCTGCGTTCAAGTCCTCGTTACTTGAAAGGATATGGCCGATAATGTTGCGCGATCAACGACTGAGCTGTCAACCCCACTCAGCGCTGCACACAAAGCGCCCAAGCTTTCCGTAGAGAATCCGGGTAACAGTCTGTATAGGTATACGAGCTGATTGTCGAGTCGGCTGACACTTAAGTCGAGACGAATATCCATGTGCGCAAGCGTCAGGTACGGAGATTTACTGACATAGCGCCCTTCGAAAATCTCATGGAAATGTGTAGCCGCGAGTACACGAGGTTTCTTGGTCCTCAGCGAAACGAAATGGTTGACCAAGGCTGCCATCAATCCTGCTCCGTCGTCGCTTGTAGTTCCCTTCCCAAACTCATCAACAAGAACTAGACTGCGGCGACTGGCTGACTTGAGGCAGAATGCTACCTGTTTGAGGTCTACGGCAAACGAGCTCTCGTTCCTTGAGACGGTTTCGCGTGTTGATAGTCGCGTTAAGATCTTGTCTGTCAGGCCAACGATTGCCTCCTCCGCAGGAACGTAGCTGCCAACATGAGCCAAGTAAGTGATCAAAGCAACTTGTTTCAGATAGACGCTTTTCCCCGAATGATTCGGCCCTGTTAGTACGGTCATGCTGGCACATGTAGAGGTGCTCATCGGTGAATGTCCTGAGCTGCGGGATTCATGTCCAAGGCCCGGGGTCTCGTAATCTTCGCCTCCGGACAGATAGCAGTCGTTAGGGATATAAAGAGGCAACACCAGTTCTTGCAGTGGATGCCGGCCAGCGCGGATACTTAGGACATTCGACATCGTCAACTTTGGTGCTGTCCAACCATACTTCCCTGCCGCAAGCGTCATTGCCACTAAAGCATCCAGCTCGCCGCAGATGTCGGCGGCGGCCAGTAAAGCGTCTTCATGTACCATGACATCGACGGCGAGGTTGTGGAGGATTTCGACCTCGAGATCTTTACTCTAGTCAGTGTGTCAACACAGCTTGAGATCACTTGGCCTACCAAGAATACCCCCGTACATGTCGCCTAGATGCGCATCTAGCTCTCGCATCCGACGGTTCTTGTAGTACGCTTTCCGTTCCGCAGAGAACATTATCTGCCAGTTGTCACAGTCCAGGCCCTGCCCGTCGTACATTGGCTCTTCGGTATCAGGGTAGAGCGGAACCATGGTCAAGAATCCAAGCTGTGGCCAGAATATGCAACTTGTAACGATGTTGCGTGCCCATTCCGGAAGCTCATTAGAAAGATCAGATACCACCTGACTCAACAAATCTTCCATGCCGTTGTAGTCTCGCTTGAGTCGGTCAAGCTCCTCGTTAACCCCCCACCGGACTGTGACTCGAGAATTTGGCCTAGAATCGCGGAAGTCTATGGTTGAACCCACAGCCTCGCCCAATTCTTTCATGGTGTTCGGGGATATTACGCGAACGATCTGTGCTTCTGGTCAGCATGATATTGATAAATATTGGTCTTGTGGGGTGTCCTCTACAGTCTCAACTAAGATGATCTCGCCCACTGGGCTTAGTCCTCTGATCGCTTCTCTCAGCTGCAAAGCGCCCAAAACAAACCGCCTCAAGGTCCACCATACACCTCTATCAAAGGATCCCCGACAAGACGTAGAATCTACGCCTTTCCGAAGCTTTATAATGCTTCGTCGTATATCTGGCACTTTGCGGAGAGTTCGGCATATTGTGTCCAAGGTTTCAGTATTTCCCGGCTGCAGCAGGAACGAGATAGTCCGCTGTCTCTCGTGGATCAAATTGAGGTCGACGGTAGGCCTGACAATTATCTGACGGAGTTTTGTCTTTCCCTGTGTGGTTCCCGCCAAGGCGCTGAATAGGCCATATATCGACAGGCTTTCTTTACCCCCCTGAGAAGTCTTGCCTGTACCCCGTGCCTGGCTGTTAGGGTGAGGTTCTGACCGTAATATTTGCAAGGATGACATTGTGTCATTGCTGATGAGCAAGTAGTCGCTCAGAGAAAACATTTGCAAGTCGCGGCAGCTTATGTGGCCTGGATCATCCGCGTGGCCATCGTATCGCCGGGAGAGTTCGCCGAGAACTGCCCCTGCACAAGCGACCTACGATGGGTGAGGAGGGATATTCGCACGGTTTATATGAGAGTTTGAATTCAGCGTACCGATGACAGACTATCGAGGTCGATAAACGAGCTCAGTCGTGTAACCCCGATGATGGCAGAATGTAGTCGTAGCTCAGAGGTGGATTCGAAGCTCTTTGTCGTGCTACTAGCGAGACCAGGTCGTACGACAGCTCCTGGAGCCGACATAGAGGAGAATGTTAGGTTTGCAAGTCGCTTCACAGCATTGCTATGACTGAAATCGGCAGAGGTCAGCATTCGTATCGCGTATGAGCATTGCCTGGAGCCTACACAAACAAGACTTAGCGACTGCAAAAATGAATCAGTCGCATGTCCAGGTACCTTCATCCCATATATTCGCATGCATTTCAAATAGACTCACGGCAGCCTCTGGCGTCTTGAGGGGCAGTAACACGACTGTAGGCTGGACGTGTGCCAAAAGAGCCTCTAAAACATCAACATCGGCATGTTGCATATCGTGAAGGATCCGTAGCTCTTGGGTGTTGGTGGCAAAGTAGGCGCATCCTAAATTGCCCGTCTCCATGAAGTTGACGGCCAAAACGACTTCTTCTGCATTGGCGGTCTCGCAAAAATCGTTGCTCTCGTTGTTCTCGTGATTCTCGGCAGTGGTTCCAGGAGCATATACCTGTGCCTGTTCGGGAGGCCGAGAGGGGCGGTTGAAGGATTCATCTGAGCCATCATGTGGCGTGCTTGGAAGAGCTTTTTGCTGGCCATGAGGATTCGCGTGGAAACTGCGCTCAGAACGAGACCCTTCAAAGCGAACAGGCATATGAGATAGATCGCTTGATAACCGTTCGTCAGTTCTGCGTTTGACGTCAATTACCCCCGAGAATCGACCTCGTCCGCGGCTGTGGACTTGGCCTCTGCATTGGCTCGAGCCCCCGCGGGCTCGCTGGTGATGAGAGAATCGTCTGCCGAACGCAGGCATTTTCATCTAGAGCAAGGGCGTGATGGTGTGTTCCGGAGGTATACAGTGTGTCCTATTGGCGTTGCAGGAATGAAGGGCAGGGCAGGGCAGGGCAGTCAACTCATCTGGGACACGACTGTGCAAAGTTGCTATAGTGCGGAGAAACTTGATAGATATTACTTTAAGCGCGTGTTAGCTTCTACACGTCGATGTCGTACGACAGGATTCTCGATTGACATAGGAGTTCGTTATTGTTGTTGAATATATTCACCAAGGTCCCATGCTTTAAGTTACCTTGCCCAAGGCGGTAGGAAAGGTAGGCATGTATCAAGGAGACGAGGAAACGACTGATCCACAGGTGCTGCTGCCTTTAGGGAAATACGCACCCCCATGACGCAACTGATTACCAAATTGGCATGATCGCGTGGCTGCTGCCTAGGTTGTGTCTGATGAATACCAACGCAGCAATACAAGCAAAGACATGGAGACGGTACTTGCGCAGAGAGCTGCTGTGTTTTGATGTTTCCATTTTGCCGCATGGCCAACACGTTGTTAATTGGCAATTCTTGTGGATGAGAATGAGTAGGCGCCTGCCAGTTGGGAATGCCTCGGTGAGACTTCTGTAATGCAAGGTGGCCAAGACTTCGTTTTACTTGAAACCTTAGCATAGAGACATGAGCGGCATACTAACACGACTATATCGGGTAAAAATAGTGAAAAAAAGGGCGCTCAAGTTGTTTCAGCGATGTTACATGCAACGCAGCGCTCTTTGAACGGATAGGATGACGAATCGAGCCATCCCACCATCCGAAACGCGGATGGACGGCATAAAGAATACATAGACTGGCAGTGACCTCTGCGCCGCGACCGTTCTGGCGTCGTCGTCACCAAGACGCACGCGTGGCCGGACACGTTATGCAGTTCGCGTAGACCCTACCGCGTCGCTAACACTCTCAGACCTGCACCTGACATGGAGCAGACCCCGCATGACAGTCCTTTCCCGGATTGATATTTAGCTTGTGCTGGACTTATCGCCATCTTTGATCCATTCAGCAAACTCGCGCCTCTCCTTCCGAATATCGACGAAACCCGGCCGACTTTCGAGAATGCGAAATGGGTTGCCAACGTAGTCATTGTCGGAAACTCCGCTGCCGTTCAGAAATCCAACCTCACCTTCGCGCTCAATCTTGCCTGCCCACACGCGCCACTGAATCGGTCGGAAATTGGAGGCGCCTGTGATGATGCCCAGGCACACTAGAAGAGTTGCGACGATTGTCTCGATGACAATATCGGCGGGAAGCGAGGTGCCTGGATTTGTCGCGGACAGAGATGATGTGGCGCCGAAGGACTGGAGCGTCGAGTGTTCTTGTGCAGAGTAACAACTAAGAGAAACGGCACGCGTCAGCAATTTACGAAGGATGATGCTCTGCAAATGAATCCACGACTCACGCATGGCTTAGCAACAGAAGTCCAACGGCAGTGACGGAGCGGGAGATCCACGTCATCTTGATAGGCGGGTGGTGCTGTTTAGTTAAGAAGACCAGGCAAGAGAGCTGAGAGATTTTTGTTGTTTTTGTTGAGATTGTTGCAAGCTTTGTCCCTTTCTCGATCGGTTTCGGAGTTGTCCAGTATCGCGGGATTACAGGCAAGAATTAATGAGGTCGGCGAGTGAGCGCAGGTAGCTTGTGTGGGGTGGCATCATAGCGCACATCGCTGGCGAGCGAGGTTGTTCTTGATTACCTAAGTCGCATAAGGTAGATACCTCAATGGGGGACATCTTGGCAGGACCCTAAGGTGCCCAAGCATACCTCCACTAAGATACCCAGTTGACACACTACCTACTTACCTAGGTAGGTAGGTGGGATAGCACAAACCATATTATCGATAATGCTCTTAAGAAAATATCGATATATCGGTTTTATGTACTATTCTGAACCACATTCCAACAATCATATTGTCCAAGTGGCAGTCCTTTCTTTGCATCTAATGTCCGGAAACGAATCGAGGAACGCCCGTCTAGCATTCCATACTTCCGCACACCACGCACAATTCGCCGCAACCGTAAATGCAGCTATCATCATCTAAGAATCGAAATGCAAGGCGTGTCGCATATCTCCAGCTTGGTGCCCAAAAAAAGGACAAAAGTAAAAGGAACTCCGCCCCTAACTCCAGATCCAGTCTAATTCGGAGACCTGCCGCTCCCTTAGTCAATCATCCTTGAAGTTTGTTGCAATTGATGGAATGCTGCTAAAAAAAACGCCGTAAGCTCAAGAGTACTCTGGCGATCACTCTGACGGATCCATCCAACTGCTGAAATGGCTTCCGTCCAGCTCCTCCACCTTCCAACTGCTATCTTGGCCTCGCAGCAACTGCAACTGTGGGTCCAGGTAAGAATCGTCGTACATCCCTCCGGGAATTCCGTCCATCAAGTCCTGCCTGGCGTCACTCAGATCGAGAGGGTTCGGCCATCTGTGGTGACCGTCCAGAAGCGGGTCACTGTAACCACCAGCGCCGTACGGCAAGGCGTCCGCACCAATCATTCCGGTGTCAACAAATGACTCCAATCCGCCGACATGGTGCTGCAAATGACCAAAATGCCCCATCGCGTCATGTCGTTCACTCTGCGGCATGGAGGCATACGCCATGGTTGGTGATTGAGGCCTTCTGATCACAACGTCCTCTACAAAGCCAACACCATCATGTCGCTGTTGTACGCTTTGTTGGTAATACTGACCGGGTGGTAGGCCACTGTGAGTGTAAGGAGCCGGCGGGGGCTTTCCAGGGTTGCTGTATTGATACATTGAATGAGATGGGATACCAAAGCCCAAAGGCGGACTTCCCGCGGCGCCAGCGTACGAATGATAGATCGAAGGTGGGGCGTCGTACTGTCCCTGGGGCCTGCGTGCCTTCATCTCCCGACCCCTCGAAGACATGGGCCCTGCAGCCCAGTCAAAGCCGTCCAAGTTCCCATCATCTGACGGCTGGTCGTCTTCCACCCGGGCTTTAGGTTTCGGTTTCGAAGGCGTAAACTTGTAACCCGGATGAGCTTCTTGGTGATTCAGGCGCTCGAGCTTGGCCCAGTCGTTAAATTGCTGGCGAATCAGTTCAGACTCCAATGGCCATCCACTGCCGCAAACTTGCGAAACGACTTGGTGGTTGTTCTGTGTGCAGAGGCTTTTGGCAAGGTTCTGGTATGCTTTGCGATAGAGCATGAATGCGTTCATGGGGCGTTTGATCTTGCCCGGCGTTTTGCTCTCCTCGACCTCTTTCAGACGCTCCTCGATTGGTCTGTTCACGTAGGCGTTGATGTCTGCCACAAAAACCTGCGGATTCTCTCGCGCCAGCTCACTTAGCGGCTTCTGGACGCCGTCCATCTTTTTCGATACTTTGCTGCGTTCCTTTTTCTTTCGCGGTGAAGCCTTCTCCACTCGAGGGGCGTGGGCAGCGAGGGGCTTGATCGTCGTCGCTCGTTTTTGAATGGTCAACCCGCTACGGGTAGTAATCATATCCGAACTCCGGGAGGGCGTTGGGGGCGACGTATCCGGAGTACTGTAGGGCTGTGCCGCTCTTCATAAGTTACTGTCGATAGCATGGAGGCTATTACTATGGATCTTACCTGATGTGTCATGCCGCTCATTGATGCGTATGGTGTGACTGTTGGATCGTAGCTTGGCTGATATGGCTGTCAGACCGTCAGTACAGCCTAAAACACGCAATAGGCGGGAGACTCACGGTTTGCCCATCCTGGGCGCGGTGGGAATACGGCGAAGGGTGGTCGTGTGGTCGATCATGCTGTGGGTCTGGGGTCCCATACCTTGACTGAGAGGCTGGATGCCCCATGAGATTATCTTCAGGGTAAGGCTGATCTCTTGGGTATGACGTCGCGTTATTGTGTCGAATCAGATGATGAAGGCCGTCGTGATAGATATCATCATTCGAGGGAGCTGGAGAGGGAGGACCTGTCTGTTCCATTCCAAAAGGAGATACCGGGTGTACCTTTGGCAAGGGTAAAGGCGATGACAGAACGAGGTGTCACTTTTATCAACTGCGTCGTCGAAAACCAAGTGAGGCCAAAGAGGCTGATGTGTGGTTTTGGGGGTCCCGGGATATAAGTGGGCAGACGACCGAGCGCAGTAGGGCCAACAGATGTATCGCCGATAAAAAAAATGTCAAGATGCTGAAGCTGACGGTATATGCAGCGAGACAAAACCCAAGCTGTAACCAGGTTCAGGTAATGAGG